TTCTTCATTCCTCAAAATCAGTATTTCACATCCAGTCCCTAAAACTCAAAACACTCAAATAAAAGATTTTGGGGTATCAGCAGATGGCCTAATGGTTACATTGCTGGACTCCCACATAGTCAACTGTGGTTCAAGTCCTGGACCTGGCAGCTTGAAACTCATGCCAGACGTGTGTGTGTGTGTGTGCATGCCCAAAATCCTGAGAGGAGAATGAAGGAGATGGGATTGTCATATGGCCATCCCCCCAGGGCACGACTTCTTGCTTTCTGTCTCTCTGTCTCTCTCTGTCTCTCTGGGTAGCGCATACACCCTATAACAAAAATCTCTCTTAAAAAGATTTTGGAGAATTATGAAGATGTACTTAGTACATGATATGTGCAAATAAAAAAAAGTAGAGATTTTAGCATTTTCTGTTACTCACAACACACCAGGCTGGCAATGTTCCCTAACCAGCATGATGGCTTCTCCTAATGGCTTCCAGAAAGAGATTGATTTTGTCCCCTCACCCCCCATGTCAAGTGGCTCTGAGGATCCAAAAGCTGGAACAACAATCTTAACTCAAGCTCTAAATAACTGGGTGGATTGGAACATGCAATGTCCCTATCTACAAACCAGAGATGACCTCCTGGCCCATGATGAGGCCTAACAAAAGTTGACCGTTTTTGTAATTGCTGCCACTGTTCGGCAAATTACCAGTACTAACTGCTGTTTTTGTCATGTGCCATCTCTCTACCTGGAACAATTAAGATGGGGTCGTTGGAGGCTAAGAGGAAAAACCATTCTCTGCCTCCCTTCTTGGAGAAACTTTGGAAACTTGGATTAACCAACTTTTCAGTGTGGTCATTTCTTCCCTAATCTGTACGCATTTTCGATGTGACACTCTGTGTGGAGATGTGTGAAGTCTTTGTCACATGAAGTATCAGACCATAGAAAGACCCATACCCACTCAGGCTATGGAAAGGAGGGAGACGTGATAACAAAGCCTGCAAGTAGGGGGTTCTATTGCACAGAGAAGACTGAGGAACTAACAGAGTCACAAGCAGGATTCTCTGATAATATGAACCATGTTGACTCAGGATATATGCCCACGGGGTCCCAATAACAATGCTTAATTTCTGGGTTGGTGTATGCTTAACACCCACCCACCCACCTACTCCCTTGCCTACCTGGCTGTCAATGATACATATAATCCTCAGGCCTAACTATAATAGTGCCCAGTACTAAGCCACGGTGCTCTTCTGAAGCCTGGATTCAATTACCAGTCCAACCTGTAGGTCAGGTACAATGGCATACACCTGTCATTTCAGGGAGGCTGAAGTGGGAAGAGTGTGAGTTCAAGACTAGCTTGAGCAACGTAGGGAAACCTCATCTTAAAAAAAAAATTAATAATACACGTAATCCTTTCAGCAGACACAAACTTTTAATTTTACAAATAAAGCAAGACTTAAAATTTCGGTGAAAATATAGTTTCTAGGCCCAGCCTGGTGGCTCAGTCTAAATGTAACTGGCTACAATGCTGGAAGCTACATGCCTGCCCTCAGTTCATATCACGCAGTCTAAATGTAACGGGCTACAATGCAGAAGCTACATGCCTGCCCTCAGTTCATATCACTAGCCCAGACAACTGAAAACATGTCAGACACAAATGTTCATGCCCAAGATCCCTACGGGCTGGAGGAGGGGGTTCTCTGCGACACCAGACCCTGTTAAGACTCTTTCTGTCCTTCTCTCCTTCTCTCTCTTGCATGTGTGCAGGCACACTCTACTAGGAATTTTGGAACAAAGGAAAAAGAAAAGAAAAGAAAATATAGTTTCTAAAGAAATTTCTGGGTTGAGTTGACAATGGAAGTAGTGGGTCATCAGAAAAGTTGTGTTTCTCTAGGCAAAAATGCACCATGACTTTTCCGATGACCCAATATATTTATGGAGGCAACCGGGAGGATCTTCCTTGAAAAATTTCGGGCAAACAATCTGAAAGAAAAATGCTACATAAATCCATTCACACTACATGAACATGGCACATAGGGATGTTGACAGAGACCAGGTTTTGCTGTGGAAAAAGGAAAAAAAAGAAGGGTGTGAGCTACCTCTGGACTCTTGAAATGGAGGAAGAGGTGTTTGAGACCAGAATGCAAAAAAAAACAAAGAATAACCTCTGATCTCGAAGGAAAGTTGGCATTTCTCAGATACCCAATGAAACCTCCCTGCTAGAAAATAAATAGGTTTCTGACACAAGTATGAGAAATCTTTATATGTAATTGTACTATACCATTATTCTATTCTCTGTGCTTTTCTATCATTTCAAAAATTTTTATTGTTTTAAACAAGGGCAAGAACTTGAAAATAAAGTTTCCCATCACTACAATAGAATACTGTTTTGTAAAAATGAGGAAGATCTTTTTTTTCTCACATGGAAAGATTTCCAAGACTCTGTAGAGAGAAGGAAAAAAAGCAAGTTTCAGGATGTATTTCACATATATCTATGAAATGCTTTTATACGTGTCTATGTCTTGCTAGCTGCATAGAATTAAATCTAGAAGGAACCAGCAGTTAGCGTAATGGCTATGTTGTTGGACTCCCATGTAGTTGACCACAGTTCAAGTCCCGAACCTGGTGGCTTAAACTCATGCTGGGTGTGTGTGTGCGTGTGTGTCAAAGATCCCGAGAGGAGAAAGGAGGAGAAGGGATTGCGGCGTGGCCATCTGCCCTGGAGGGTGATTTCTCACTTTCTGTCTCTCTCTCTGTGTCTTTCCAGCAAGCACACATGCCCTATAGCAAAAACCTCTCAAAATAAATAAATAAATAAATAAATAAAATAAAAAGAATTAAATCTAGAAGAAACAACACATTATTAACAGGAGGTAGACAGATTATGTATATTAGCTGTTTTCATATGGCATGAATTTTATGATAAGTATAATACTTTTGTAATCAGAGCAAAGTGATAATGACCTTTTTCTTTTTCCTAGGGTTTTTGTCAAAGGGCATATGCCCTTGCCAGAGAGAGAGAGAGAGAGAGCAAAGGAAAGTGAAAAATCATCCCCTGGGGGAATAGCCATGCCAGAATCCCTTCTCCTCCATTCTCTTCCTTAGATTTTGCCATGCATGTATCCAGCTTGAGTTTCAAGCTGCCAGGTCCAGGACTCGAACCGCAGTTGGCCATGAGGGAGTCCAGCGCCTTAACCACCACATCAACTGCTGGCCCCAGTAATGACCTTTTGCAACACCTGTGGAGCAGAAATGCTGCTGGCCCAGCCCTTCCAGGTTGGCGGGCTGCCCACTCACCCTGTCCTTGCCTGGCCTCTTTCCTGATTTGACACTTGCGTGTCTGTGTGAGAGCCCGTGACAGATACCAGCAGTGGCAGTGGTGACAGGCCCAGAGCCACATTTGTCCCATTACTTCCAACTCCTCGCTGCCTTTCCAACCGCCCCAGCAGGGGCTCCTCTCTCTTATCTGCACAAGGCAAAAGTCAGAAGTTCTTGTCAGTGCGATTGCAGAGTGCCAGGCTGGAAAATCGCCTGATAATACCTAAATTCCTGTAGAAGAGCAGTGCTTGGAATCGGGGCAGGAGGCTCCAGCACATTGTGTACTGTGCAGATGGATAATAAACCAGATGAAATTTGGCAATAAAAAAATGTAAGGGACATATAAGGATGTCGTAGTCCCATCTGGTTCGATAATCTCTCTCCCCAAGTCAATTTATCTTGTCTCCCAAGAAAGCCCATGGAGGCTGCTGAGAAGAGTCTCAGCATGTGTGTCATTGAGGATTTCCAAAATAGATACAAAGATATGAGAAGCAAGAAAGAAAATCCAAGGGCAGGGGGGTGGCGGGGGTGGTGGGGAAATAAGGGTTAGGCTGAAGTTTCCGAGACACATTTATAGCTTTTGTAAACAGTTATGCATTAGTTGAATGGATCTTTGGGACACTCCGGTGACATAGCTAATTTTGACGTTTGGGAATTTATACTTAGTAGCTGTCCTAGCTTATTTGTCTTCGCAGAGCTCGCTAAACAGTTTGTGCCGTGTGCCCTGTTTTATGTTTGAAGATGATGCAAATGGCAGACTGTCATCTCAAGTCTATGTCTCCTTGTAAAACCTGGGGGAGATAGGAGCCTTCTACTGCATTCTCCCTTGGCCTCATTCTGCATCAGCATCACTTGTTCTTCCCTTCACCGTCCCCAGCTTAGTTTTGAAAACATAAAAGAAATGTGAGGATATAAAGCTGGTGCTATAGCCTACTGGTTAAGAGAGTCACATAGCAGGGCCAGCAGGTCGCATGGTGGTTAAGGCATTGGACCCCCACATGGCCAACTGCAGTTTGAGTCCTGGACCTGGTGGCTTGAAATTCATGCCGGGCACATGTGCGTGCATGCCCAAAGATCCCAGGAGAAGGGATTGCGGTGTGACCATCTCCCCGGGGGCGGGGGTGGTGATTTCTTACGTTTCCTATCACTGTCTCTCTGTGTCTCCAGTGAACACATGTGCCCTATGGCAAACACTTAAAATAATTAAAAAAAAATTTTTTAAGGCAAGAGAGCCAGATCACACATGGCCAAGGAGTACCAGCCCTGGCAGCTTGAAAACCATGCCAAGAGTGTGTGTACGCACGCCCCAAACCAAAATCTCGAAAGGAGGGCAACATGAAGCAGAAGGAAGTGCAGTATAGCCATGACCCATCGAGGGGGTGCTTTCACACCTCCTCTGCCAAATAAAAAGGAAAAAGAAAATAAAGAAACGTATAAACCTGAGAGCAATAACACAGGTTGTTAAGCTTTAATGTATCTTTCAACCATGCCGAAAAGGCCATTTTCATAAGCATAAGTTCTTGCATGGAGTCCATATCTGAGAAACCGGGTCATTGGAGGCGTGTCTTCACTCTTAACTGGGAACGAATGTGGGAGGACGAATGTGTGCGTCTAGCAGGGATATGGCACGTCGAAGCGCCCCCCACTTGCCCTGGGATGCTTCACTGACCAGCGCTTGGGTTTTACGCCCTCAGGTAACCAGGTGAGCTTCTCCAAACCAGCAGATGCCTTTGCTTTTGAAGAGGACAGCAGCAGTGACGGGCTTTCTCCTGACCAGACTCGAAGCGAAGACCCCCAGGGCTCAGTGGGATCCCCCACAGACGCTAAAGCCACGGAGACGCCTTTGGCCGGTGGTCTGGAGACAACCCAGGTAAAAAGAAAAAAAAAAAAAACCTGCATCTCTGTCTATCATCTTTTCAGAGTCTTAAAATTAACACTGCCAGGGACCAGCAGGTGGTTCAGTTACTAGACTCCCACGTGGCTGACCGAAGTTCAAATCCCAGACCTGGCAGCTTGCTTTCTTGCTTTCTCTGTCTCTACGTCTCTGTGGTCAAATTAAAAAATAATGATATTAAATTAGATGAACACTGCCACACTTGGTTTGGCTTAAAGACCCTAGAAATGACCCCTGAGGGAGCATCATTTTGGTGTTTCTTCTCACTCTGCCCCACCTGGGGATCTGTAGATAGAGGCAAAATACTCCAGCAAACATTCAGCTCCCCAGAACTACATGATACTTCGACTCTGCCAAGGAGTTAGAAGGGAACCGCAAAACATTTGTGCGAAAATGGAATTAAAGTACAAGTTTATTTTGGTGTTTTTTAAAAAAAGACTGAAATCCTTATGTAGTTTTTTTTTTTATTTCGAGTATGCATTTTTTATTAACTTTTTGAAGACCCCTCCCCTTATACTTTTTAATCTCCATTTTTGTAGACAAAGCAATTGAGGCTCAGGGAGATTAGATGGCTTTCTAATACAGCCTTCCTGCTGGAAAATGCTAGAGCAGGGACCAGCAGTTGGTGTAATGGCTATACCATTGGACTCCCAAGTAGTCGACTACGGTTCGAGTCCCAGACCTGGTAGCTTAAATTCACACAGGGTATGTTGCATGTGTGTCCAAGATCCCGAGAGAAGAATGGAGGAGAAGGGATTGTGGTGTGGCCATCCCCCGGGGGGGGTGATTTCTCGCTTTCTGTCGGTCTTTCTGGTGAGTACATGCACCCTATAGCAAAAACCTCTCTAAAAAAAAAAAAGAAAAGAAGAGAAAATGGTAGATCAGGGCTGATTTCAGAGTCCACAGTCTTTCTCTACACTGACAAGTTATCACTGGTTTCTGGAGGAGTTGGGAGAAGGAAATGCTGATTGCCCACATGAGAGTCGGGGACTTGCCTTGGATCTACTGTCAGTAGATTTCCACATACCAAGTCCCAACCCAAACACAGCACTCATGACTTTCTGGACAAATCCACAAACCCTTAAGATGTATATTGAGAGGGACCAGCAGATGGAGTGATGGTTACATCGCTGGACTCCCACGTAGTCGATCACAGTCCAGTCCCGGACCTGGCAGCTTAAAACTCACACCAGGTGCATATGCATGCATGCCCAAAATCCCGAGAGGAGAATGGAAGAGAAGTGATTGCAGTGTGGCCATCCCACCTGGGGGGGTAACTTCTTGCCTTCTGTCTCTATCTCTTTCTGTCTCTCTGACAAATGCACATACCTTACAGCAAAAATCTCTCTTAAAAATAAAAAAGTTATATAATGAAAATACCTTCTTTTTTTTTTAATATGCCAAAAGGAGGAGTTCATGCAGCAGGGGGAGAGAGAGAGACAGAAAGAACCACCATTGCACTGGGGCCTAGTCATGCTATAATCCCTTTTCCTCCATTCCTTCATCCCATCAGGATCCTGGGCATGTACAAACATGTGCTCAGCATATTTTCCAAGCCTCCAGGGCTGGGTTTTGAACCGTGGTTGACCATGTAGGATCCGGTTCCTTCTACACAGCACTTAACCACTGTGCTGGGAGACTAGCCCTCGCAAATCCCCATCAAGCACACTTATGAAGTGTCATGGCGGTTAGCAACAATAGCAGCTGCCATGCAGTAAGTGCCCACCCTGGGCCAGAGGCAGCACTGGCCACTGTGGGAATGTCCTCCCATCTGAGCTCACAGTCCTCTCCAGGCAGCCATCATCGGTTGTCTACTCTGACAGAGGAGGGACGAGGCTGGGGAACAGTGTGGTCTCCAGGAACACTACAGAGCATTGCCAGCCACAGAATCGACCCCTAGAAGCCAAACACAGACTGAACGGGTGTTTTCTCAGCCTAGCACAGTGGCATTGACAGATGTGTGGTGGTGGGGGGGTCGGGGATCCACATGTGAGAGGAAAGGAGACACGGAGTGGAAGCGGACGTGAGTTCTCACAGCTCTAGTGCTACCATAAACCCACTCTGAAGAGAGCCCTCCAGACCTCAGCCCTTCCCTTTAGGAATAGTTCATGCTCCTGGCCTCACAGGGCTTGTCCAGTGGACTAAAAGCAGCTATTATATTGAAAACACTCACTACACGGGGGTCAGGCAGCAGCGTGGCAGTAACGAGACCAGACTCACGTGGGAAATGTGCAGATTCACGTCCCAGGACCCCCTGAGCACATCACACATGCATGTGCCTGAGGTCTGGACTGGCTGAAACTGATGGAGGTGGGACGTGCTTGTCTCTTTCTGTCTCCAATGGAAAAAAAAAAAAAGAGAACTTTTTTTTTTTTTTTTTTGAAAAACAGC